GGAGCTAATGGACTCAGGAAAGCTAATCCCAATTCTCCTGACGCAGTTGCCGACATGGAAGCGTCAAGGCCAAAGAGAAGAGGCAAGTTGATTATCCTTCACTTGTACTTCAGAATTTGACAACTTAATTGTCATAGTATGTTTTTTTTAGATTATGGTAATGGCATGAACTACCGATAATATCAACATCACCTTGCATATTTTTAATTCTCTCTCTCCTGATCGCAATATTGCTATCATAATTGAGTGGATATAATGATATGCATGAATGATTACATAAAAAGTTCTTATTCATTTTAAAGGACCCTGTGTATGTAAAGATAAGGCAAGTGGGGCACTGATATTCTACTCATAACACCTTACATTTTTATATCTCATTTGGGTTGACTACTTTTTACAGAGTTGTTGCTGGATCAGGGGATCAACTACAAGAAAGGAGGAACAGCCTTACAAACAGAATAAATTGGTAGGTTCGTGTTAGATGATTTCCTTTTCACAAATTGTCCCATATTATAGATTCTCATTGTACCTGCTCCTTCTTCTTAAGGAAAATCGATGATTTTCCACAAGTAAATTAAGCAATGGGAGCGGAAAAATCAAATCAACGACACAAGAATTTTACGTGGTTTCCCTTAATATGAGGTACGTCCAGAGAATCGAAATCCGATTTCCACTATCAACTAATAGTTTTCAAATAATTACAAATGAGACACGTACAAGGGAGAACGAATGGTACATCTAGAAGATCAAAATCCAATTCCACTATTAAGCAATAGTTTCCAAATGATATAAACGAGACACAAATAGTCTCACAAATCACCCTTAGGTGAATTCCAAATAATCATAAATAAAACGAAAGGAAAGATCTCACCAAATGAGATGAAACAATAGTCTTCGAAATTAGAGTTGAAGAAGACCCAAAATTAAAGCCCAAATCAGCCGAATAACTGAACATAGACAAAACTCCCAAGCCTCTGTCAAGATATCACTGCCGTAGCACTCATCGAATAGTTTGATTCCACTGAATTCACTACAACAAAACTGACTTTTTACGGCACTACATTAACGACATAATAAATGCACTGTCGTAGTTTCTCACTTATACAACTTGCTTTTTTTACACGTCATAAATATTTTTCCAACCATGGCGTGTCTATTGTGTAGACCGTGAATGATAATAAACGATGATTTTTTTACGGCTTGCAATGCATGTCGTAAATAATAAAACTTTCTACGACGTGCATATGGCGTGCCGTTAATACATCAATTATACATGACGCACATACGTGCCAGTCGTAAAAAGTGAAATACTTTTCACAGCACACAAACGCTCGTCGTTAAAAATATTACACTTTTTACGACGCACATATTATCCATCGTTAAAAATATTACATTTTTATGAGCACAATACATATCATGAATTGTATGATAAAAAAAAAAAAAATTGCGCCAAAATGAAATTTGAACGCGCCAAAATTTTTTTCCCCCAAAATAACTATTTTTGCTGCCTTTTTAATCAAAATGGAACATCACAAGGTTTCAATGTCTCTCTCTCTTTTGATGATGACGATGATGAAGGCCGAATCCAAATCCTACACTCCCCTCAACTATTTCAGAACCTTTGTCTACAAAGACTTACCGTCGGACTCGTCAGAATGCGCGATCTTCGAACGGGCTGATTGCGCAATTTGAGATATCTCTTTCTTTTGGTTCTGCAAAGTTGATTCTCTATCACTTCTCTCTGAATCCATGCGAAAATTAACAGAAACATGAAGTCCTCTTCCCGATATTCTCTTTTGTTGTTGTTTTAGCAGGTACTATATCAGTTTTAGTGCTCCTAAAAATTTACATCTTGATGAGTTTTGCTAACATTCACTTCGACAAGAACCATATTGGTTTGTAACTCACTCACAACAGCCTTTCCATGTGCAGCTTTGTTGCTAAAAACACTAGGATGTATGCATTCTCCTGTGGATGCATCCATAGCAGATCTGAAGGAGAAATTCCCACTCCAACTTGATCGTGTTTCTTCATCGTGCCTTAATAACCCGGGTCTTGACTGCATTGCCCTCTTGCAGAGGTATTAAATTATCCGAGCATCTTCAAGAATATTACTTTCCTTTAAACAAAAAGTAGATTTCTGATTGCTTTCTTCAAACCGAGTCCTCTTATTTTTTTTGCTTGCTCGAATAACCTTTCCATCACCAGTCCTATTTTTCATTGCATCGAATTTTGACATGACTATGTAACCCTCCCAACCAAACACATCTTTTACTGATTTAGAAATTAGCAATTTCAGATGCTAAGTCAAAGCAAGCTGTGCATTGGGTAAGACCTTTTAGAGTCTACGCAATTGTTCTCTTGATCTCTCTCATAAATCTGAATTTTTTTCAGACACACTCTTCGACCATCTCTTTTGTGAGGAGGTTTCTTGGTCTTTTGGCTTAAAGTGTTTTCCTCCTTTTGCTCTTAGCCTTGGCATCCTTTTCAACATTTTTCTTTGAACAGAGACCTGACACAGATCATTTTTGCCCTAATTTTTCTCTCTATTTCTGTTCAAATGTAAGTATGATATAATCATCTTCAATGTGGGTTTTCTGGTTACTGGTACTAGTCTTAACTGTTGCACTTTTATGTGTTTGTTTAATTGACTGAATGGTGTGTTTGTTGGAATTTACAAAATAAATTTGTCATGTAGTGGTTTAAATGTAATTATAATATATATTCAGCAAGAAATGGCTGCTTAAAATTAATAATCCAATGCATGCATAAGTCCAAACACTAGTTTTTTAAGACTTTGCAAATTGTTTTGTTGATAAAAGCTTTTGTGTGTTCCATAGATTTGCGTTCAAATTAGGGGAAAAAGAACATCTTTACATGTTTGTTTTGCATTTTCTTAGTTGACCATCATGTGCAGCAGCTTATAATATTTGAGCATAGCCCAAGATACTATAACCTCTCCATATGCAGCAGCATAATAATTTCAGCATAGTACAATGAATTTGAGAAGCATATACTACAAGCCACATTATTTGCGGACCTACCTTCCTAAAAAAAACATTGTTTATTTTAGTTGTTGTTAAAATTATTATAATTTTATTGGTAGGTGATTGTTTTCTTGGAAAGAACATGCCTATGAGTTCTGCTCACATGGAACCCAACTTGCCTTTTTCTCTAGTTTTGGAGGCTTACGGGATCTCATACTAATTCTGTGATACAAAGAATGCTCCAAGATTTTTCAATATGAATACAAAAAAGAAAAAAAGTTCATTTGCATGGAACTTAAGAACTTTAGAAAAGTAATAAATAATAATCATAGAAAAACAAAAACAAAGAAAAAAAAACTTGGGTTTTGGTTAAAGGCCAAGAAAGGCTTGTGGAACATATTATGAAAGTGGAATGACATATGATATTCAGATATGTATTTAAGAACCTAGGTTCCTTTATAGATATAATTTGGAAAAGACATATGATATATCAGGCATGTAATTTAAGAACTAGTTCCTTTTAGGAGGTACAAATGATGCTAGTGCATATGATAATTAGCCACAACTACCATGTGAAAAAATATTTATATCCTTGTTGAAGTTTGATATTCTCTTATGTGCTTTAATTGGTGTTATGTTCATCAATGCAGTTGTACATTGTTGCCGTTTTCTTGCCTTTTGTGTTATACTTGAAAACGAATGAAAATCATTTAATTCTTTGTACCCTTTTTCTTGACTTCAAATGTAATTGGAATGCTTGTGTATGTTACGAAAATGATATCCCAGTTAATGGACCTAGTTTGGCTGTGGCAACCCTAGAACTGTAATAATCCATGATAGTTATGAATTAACTGAGAAAATAATGTTATATTCTTCCTAGATTTCAAGAATCCCATTGCATTTAAAAAAATAACTTAAAAAAGAGGATAATAGATGAGCAGAATATTTTAATGTGCACTTATAAAATTGTTAAATTACTGGTGCATACAAATGAGATCAAGTGATAAATAGATATACAAATAGGTCAAGACTTTTGAGGGAAATTAGTGAAATTACTAATAAGATTACAGATGATATTGCTGACTACGGAGATTGTACTTTTTTGTTATTAATGGTTGTTGCAACTAATTCTCTCAACTTCCTCTGGAAGTATGCAGTCAAGTCTTCAAGAATTCTAGATCTTTCTGGTAACTCATTCTCTCTCTTT